ATATACCTGAGATTTAGTTTTTCTTTGTCTAGGAGGTGCATTACTACCTAACCAATCTTTTGTGATGACATCGAGTTTTGAAATTTCCTTTTTAAGAAGATTCTTTGTAAGACCTTTTCTTTTTGAGGCTTTAAAATAGTTGTGTAAAGTTGTTGCTGAATTTAGCACCCTTGATGGTGACGATGATGTTGGTTGTAATGGCGATCTAGGTAAAGTTATTACTGAATTAATACTAGCACTAGTACTAGCACTATTATTACTGATAGTACCAGTAGAAGTAGTAGTGCTAGTACTATCAGTAAACTTCTGCTGCCTAGCTTTAGACTGAGTTGGTGTTATGTGACGTGACGATGAACGCCTTGGTGGTGTAGTTGTTGATGATGACGATGACGATTTGTATTTATTAGTGTTACATGTAGAAGTAGTGGTAATAACCGTTGTTGATGTTGGAGATTTTGCTATACTGGAAGTCGTGATGGTGGTCTTGTTGTTGTTGTTGGTTAAAGGAAACGAACGAGTTGGAGTCTTTGGAGTTTCCAGTTTGAAAAATTAAGCTTTGATAACAATAGCAATGATAATAATTGTAATGATAATAACTATTATTATATTGGTCAATAATAGATCAATAAACTATTTAAACTGGTGTCATAAACATTATTATCACTACAGTAATAAAGAAGAAGAAAAGAACCTACAAATCTATCAGTAAAAATACTTGTTTTTTAAAACTATACCGCTCAACTGTTTTGTTTAAAAGTTCACGCGTAGAAAAATATTAAATAACATAACATGTCACGCAGATCAATAGGGATGGTAAACTTTTGATGATCTGCATCATACAATCAAAATGACTTCTAATCCCCATTTAATACCCTTGCTGTGTAGCCAAATTTGAGATATGACTTCTTTATTAATATGTTTGTAACACATATTATTGGGCCCAATCTTATATATTTAAATATTAATATACATATATAAAAAGTGTAATAGTTTTTTTTTTCGCTCAGAATTCTTCTCGAAATGTTTAGACCTTCTATAACTGGTACAAACAATATACCATTAGGTAAAAGACGAATAGGCGTTTATACAACAGCTGAAGAACAACAACTAAAACAAGAGACACCTGACATAAATCAAAATACCTCTTCTCAAGAAATTAACGATGATGCTGCCACCAATACTGGAAATTTACTTAAAAGATCTAATGATGATAATGGCGAGCAAGAATCAGGTATAAAAAATTGTAGTAGATTTTTTTCTTAATTACCCTTACATAAATTTTTAAAACCAGGATTCTAGTTTCTTTTTTTTCATTTCTTAAATAATATTTATCATTCAAATTAAAGTAATAATACTAATGACATACAGGAAAAATAATGATAATCCTAACAAATATTATTACATAAAATTTTTCATTTTTATTTATTAACCATTTTCATATACTAACAAATTTGTAAAACTGCATTTATTATCATTATCATTATCATTATTTATTATTATTTACTGCTTGATTTTTTCCAAAAAAATTGCATCATTATGTGCAAATAACTGGAATATTTTAGATAATAAAAAAGAACGTAGGAACAAGAGAAGAAGTAGATGGGGTAATGAAGAATCAAAGGTGAACATCCCTGGCTTACCAACTATTATTACTTCAAAGATGTCAAAAGAACAATTGGATCTTTATTTAAGTACGATGTTTTTATTTTTTTTATTTTTTTGTTTATTTTCTAGTATTAATATAATTAATATACATATATATTAAATAATTATAATTAGCTCATTTGAGGTTAGAAGAAATTGGTAGAAAATTGAGAAATGGAGATTTTATTCCACCAGAAAAAGATAGGTAAGTAATATATATATAATATATAATATATTTATAAAATATATATAATTCCCTGAGAAATTATTTATAAATAATGAATTATCTAGGTCACCATCTCCAGAACCATTTTATGATTCACAGGGGAAAAGAGTTAATACTCGTGAATATCGTTATCGTAAAAAATTAGAGGATGAAAGACACAGATTAATTGAGGAGACAGTCAAGAAAGATCCTGATTTTAAACCACCTGCAGATTATAAACGCCCTACCAAAGTTCAAGATAAAGTTTACATACCAGCTAAGGAATTTCCAGAAATCAATTTCATTGGTTTGTTAATTGGCCCTCGTGGTAATACATTGAAAAAAATGGAAACCGAATCTGGTGCTAAAATTAGCATTCGTGGT